TAATTAGATAGATAGATAGATAGATAGATAGATGGATAGATAGATAGATGAAAAAAGTTTTCATGTGCCGCGTGTCGTCCTTCAGGACTTCAATGTCCTAAAGGACGAAACACAACTTTTTTCCCACTTTGTCATAGATTTTCATAAAATTGTGCTTGATATATAAGAATGTATATATCATTTTCCCATAGATAGATAAAAAATCTATTAAAAAATTAAAAGGGTATATTGTGACGCCTTTCGTCTTTCAGGACTTCAATAGCCTAAAGGACAAAAAAGTTTTGTTCACTTTGTCATAGATTTTCTTAAAATTGATCTCTTTTCCGTAGATAGATAGATAGATAGATAGATAGATAGATAGATAGAAAATGAAATAAATTCAATAGACAGAGAGAAAGAAAATGAATAGAATTCAATAGATAGACAGACAGAGAGAGAAAAAATGAAAAGAATTCAATAGATAGATAGATAGATAGATAGATAGAAAATAAAAAGAATTCAATAGATATATATATAGAGACAGAAATAAAATGAAAAATATTCAATAGAATGATAGAAAATAAAAAGAATTCAATAGATATATATATAGAGACAGAAATAAAATGAAAAATATTCAATAGAATGATAGAAAATGAAAAGAATTTAATAGATAGATAGATAGATAGATAGATAGATAGATAGATAGCTGCAAATATTGCAAATTTTATATAAAATACAGTGTAGTAGACGTTTATGTGTGCGTGTGGAATAAAATAGTTTTAACGTATGCTATGTTTATGGGAGAAAAATTATCAATATCAATGACAGAACCTGCGTAAATATAAGCAGTATGAACATAGGTATCAACACTAAATAGCGACAGTCTGTTTTATGCTTAAATCGCAATTGTCAGGACATATAGTTGGAGAGTGGAGGGGGAGGCCATAACAAGAATTATTCCCCCGAATGTCTATTTGATCATTTACTCAGATTTGGGGAAATTGACGACTTCCCTTTCCTCCCCCAACTTTCGTCATTGTTCTGGTATTCATTCACGCAAGTAGTTGACTGGCTGTTTCCTCTGCTTCTCAATCTGTCCTGTGAGTGTTAAATCACCTAAATAATCTTCTTTTATTGTGTTTCCCAGAAATTTCATATAAAAGTTATTTTTTAAGCGAAGTGGACCAGTCGACGGGGTTATCTATTCTATTTAATTTTTTCGCTGAAGTCAGTTTGGAGTCAAGTGAGATTAACCGTTATTTGTGCTTCCTCTCTTAATATTTTGACCTAAACGAAAACTATTGATGACAACGACTTATCTTATTCAGTGGGATATAAAAGGAATTTTTTAATAATAGCTGCCACCTGGAATAATGACTACTCTGTACTACAATTGGGTCGTTTGAATAAGCGTGGGTTTTATTACACGACATTGTCTCTCCCCAGCTTGCAAATGCGACGTAGAAAAGAATCATGAAGATGGTAGGGGCATGTCACCTACAGACTATGTTATTCTTTGTTTCGTTCTCTGCAACAATTCCTGTCTGATCAATAAGTTCTAAATATTAATAAAATACGCGATGGATTCATCGAATCAAATTTTCGAAGCGACTTTTTGATAGAAAACAAAATTAAGCTGAAAAGTGATGCAAGATCATAGAGAGCGTGGGAAAATAATTTAACGCATGCGCACAAACACACGATCACTGCTACATATGGCCCGGTGCTCCTGCTGTATATTTAGAGATTCTTGATAAAATCCAAAGAAGAATCAGCAATATTATTGGTCCTGATCCGGCATCTCAACTTCAATCACTTCCCCACCGCCGATTTCTAGCTTCCCTGTTCCTCCTATATAAATACTTTCATAGCAACTTTTCGGGTGAACTATTCACTATGTTATCTAGACATTATGGATTGAAGCACGGTAATAGATTGGCGACAAGATCTCATCAATTCACCCTTGAATTTTCTAGATATAACCGTAAGTTCTATGTTAACAGTTTCTTCTATCGCATTTCCCGCTTATGGAGATCTCTTCCGGCTCTATGCTTTTAACCATCTTTGATCTTCGAAAATTTAAATGTAATGTCAATTGTCATCTACTGTTTTCTTAATTACTCTTCTGTTGTTCTCGTCCCTTAATAATGTTTTTTTTTTTTTTCACACTCAGTAACCCGTTGTGTCTTAGTGGTTTCCTGCCTAGAATGGGGTAAAATTATTAAAAAACACGCCAATATATTAGGTTGAGTCATAAATAATTTTCCCTTGTTGAAAAGCAATTGTAATTACGTGTGTATCATTTTAAAAGCTAACCATTCGTGACAGTTAAGAATAAATTTAAAGTGCAAGCGCATAAGATAATGTTCAGTGGCAAAGGCTGTTGTATTGACAAGAATAAATCTCAGCAAGAAATCCTCTAAAAACTGAGCAAAAGAAAAGGAAGATAATAATGTGCGTGTGATGGGATCATTGGAGTATTATTCACATTGAGTTCCTAAAACGCAATGAAACACTAAATGCACATTTATACATCCAGCAGCTGCAACCTGTACATAAAAGTTGCGTCGAAATGCACCTTACGCTCGTTAATAAGAAAAAATGTTTCTATCCATGACAACACGAGGCTGCATACATCTAGAGGAAAAAAGAATTGGAATTCCGTTTGTCTGTTCTACTCCAATCCCCGATATTCACCTGGCCTTGAACCAACTGATTATTACCTTTTTCGATCGCGACAAAACCCTTTGATGGAGAACACTGTCTAATGAAAAAAAAAAAAAGATTGAAAGATTTCGTCAAAAGCTTTTTCACATAAAATCCTGCGGAATTTTAGTCAAAGAGCTGCCTGATAAATGGTGACAATTCATTGCAAATAAAAGTGAATATCTAAATAATGTAATTTATCTTTTGAAGTATAAAGTTGATAAGCAAAAGCGGAAATTATCTCTCACTCGATTTTATATACACGCCGGCATATCCTTACGAATTTGAACGGATTTGTGCACAGACCAAATCATTTATCTTGCGAGAATAGCCAACTATTGCTTCCTGGCAAATCTGGCTTGGCGGGAAAGAATTTAGAGAGAATAGTTTGAGAATAGCAAAAATAACATCCAGTGTATCGCTATCAAATTTCGAAAATTATTTATGAGAGGACCTGATATAATATTTGTAGATCTTAACTAAATAATTGCAAAATTGATAGCCTAAACAGAAAGGTAATTGTAAGATAATCCAATTGTCAATCATCAATCATCCAACCGATTGACTGAGGGATAAGCCTCAAATATAGCAGACTGGTTACCGGGAATTAAATATTTGTCAAATTAGACAAAGAACGAAATAAAAGAAGAAAATCTCTATTATCTACGACAAGCGTTCGCCATCCTGAGACCCTCAAGCAGTACTTTGTTGTCAGCAAAACTTGTCGGCCCCAATTAAGATTTTTATGAACGAACATTTCTACGGCTGGAAAGTGTATGCGTAGATGTTTGCTAACTTTAGTTCGCCTTTATAAAAGAGTGCATCTCCTGGAAGCAATCAAATTCACAGTTTATTTCATTCTATAATGTAAGAACATTGATGTGATAAAATTCCCTCTAGCCTAACGAGGTGCAACTGTTCGATACGGCATCGATTCCACAAGTAATCAGAAGATATTTAGGGATAGGTTAAGCCATGCTTTCCACAGCAACCCACCCCAATAATATTTTAGGTGCATAATCTTGTGTGCGAATAGACCGTTCATCTACGTTATATAAATATTTGATTGAGTTCAGTCAGACGAACATGGTTGCCACACCATTCATCGGAAGTCTCCAAAATGATCCTCAAACCAAATTTGGCCAACTGGTGGATTAAGAAATTGTTATTGGAGAGACATGGCGTCACTGGATAGGTGCCCATAGTCATGAAACTGTGCAACAACGGGATCACTTATCAATGGTATGTTATTATAGACCAACGGACCCAATATATACCAGTATATTATATCCAGATTAAACAAAATTATCCTTGTTTCTGAGATGAGCTATTGTAACTATTTACATTATTTGGACTGTTGTACTCATCTTTATTGGCAGATTCACGACGTTTCGACCGTTGTACGCTCCGGCCTTCTTCAGGTGATATAGGTTGGAATTTCGAATCAGCTCAAGGATACATGTCACAGTGGATAAGAGCGTTGATTGAAGTAATCCAGTGACTTGACCCAAAGAGTTGTCTGTAAAACACCTGGCCACAGTGAACAAAAACTTAGAGAGTTGAGTTACGAAAGGGAAATAACTAAAACTGAGATAACCAGGAAAGGCATGGCACGTGGAACTAGAACAATCTTCCCCAGTGGACGAAATTCCAATGTATATCACTTGAAGAAGGCCTGAACGTACAACGTCCGAAATGTAGTGAATATGACAAGGATGAAGAGAAACATCCCGAAAAATGGTAATGGTTTAAAAAATGAATCCATTTTGTCTGATGGCAGCCAATGACTTTAACGTTATTGCAGGGCGGTGTATAAGGAAAATATTTGATTTCTACAGTGAAGCATAATAATAGAAATATTATAGTGTGAAGGCACGTGGCCAGCCGCAATATCTAAGCAGGTTTTTATTGCTACCAAGAGTCCCAATATATGCTAAGAAAATATTCCCTGTACAATTACACTACCTCCAGCAGCCTGACCTGTTTATACAACGCCGGATGGACACGGATTTTTCATGTTATTTACGCCAAATTCTAGCCCAACCAGCAGAAATGATAACTCATCAGACAAGGCAACATTTTTCCAATCTTCCAATTTGACCAATTTTTATGATCATTATCGAATTATGGCCTCAGTTTCTTGTTTTTATCTGGAGTGGCATCTGCTGTAGCCCATCTGCTTCAAGGTTCGACATGTAGCAACGACTGATTATTTGAGCTACTAATTTCCTGTCAGTTTGAACCAGTTTAGCTATTCTCCTCTAACCACTTTTGTCAACAACAGATTTCCGCCCACAATTTTTCTGACCCTAGATATGATTGTACGGGGAAATTGTATTAGATCAACAGTTTGGGAAATATTCTGACCCAGCCATCTGCCACTAACGACTAAGACGCTTTTCAAAGTCCTTTCAATTACCTTGCTTTTCAATACTAAATCACTAGATGAAATTCAGCTGGTTACATCGCTTCTAAATCATTGGATGACTAGAAATTTGCATAAAAGACCATTTATCCACATGTACCAGTGGCCAGTAAACGTATATATATATATATATATATATATATATATATATATATATTCATACACGTTTCATTAAATGATATAGACAAGTGTTGTCTATTTATTTTATGTAAATTCTTTTCATAACATCTGATAAGATTAATAACATTATTATTGAAGGTAGAAAGAAATTCACAATATTGATCCATATTTTTTAATACAATCTAAGCTTTCGGCTTACATAAGCCATTATCAAAGATGTCAATTACAACATATTAAGCAATATACGGACAAGACAGTGATGATAGTCTGTGATTGTTTACATAGATGATTTCTAAGCAATTCACTCTCGCGTGGTCATGTGTGACGTCATGAGATGTGGTGCGATTTTCGCTTCTAACGTCTTATATGCATTTGTTTATCGTTGCTTATCATTTTGGAATCTATTCGACTGTTCCCCCAAGGCCTTCTCTCGTACTAATCTTATAGTAGGCGGAAGAGTCCAACAGACTCTTTTGAGGGAGGACACCCCAACAGTCTTGAAGAGACTCGACATTTTAGAAAATAGTGAAGATATCTTTTTGTGCCGTTATTATGTAATGGCTAATAAACATAGTATGACAGACTCCTGCAAGTGTAGTGAGCTACAACCTCGTTGTGGACCTCATTATCGTGGTGTTTTGCCAGACGACATTTCTCTCGCTAAACACTTCGATTCACATTAATAACTCTCCTTTTATTCTCACTGTGACCATTACTGCTCCCTCTCATTGGCTCATTTTATCTTTTTCTTTCTCTTTCTGCTTTTCTCTTTTCTATCAATCTTTGTGTCTCTAGCTCTATCTCTTTTTCATCACCTTTCTCTTCTCACCTTTCCTTTTTTATTTTTATTCTTTTCTTTTTCACAGCCTTTCACTTTTCCCTCACTATTCCTCTCTCTCTCTCTCTCTCTCTCTTTCACTCTCTCTCTCTCTATATATATATATATATCGGTATCTCTCTCTTAACTTCTCTTTTAATTTCTCGTTTTGTCTTTTTTCTCTCAGTTTACTTCTTTCTCTCCCTCTCTGCCTCCCTCCGCCCTTCTCTTTTTATGTCTCTTTCTGATTTTCTGTTTATCTATCTTTCTATTTCTCTCTTTCTTTCTTTCTTTCTCTCTCTCTCTCTCTCTTTACGTTTCTCTTACTTTCTTTTTTCTCTTTTCATTGCCTTTCACTTTTCACTCACCATTCCTCCATCTCTCCTCTATTTCCATCTCTCTTTGCCTTTGTCTTGTTATCTTTCTTTCTTTCTTTTTAGATTATTTTCTGCCTTTCTCCTTTTCTCCCTTTCTCTCTCTCTTTACCTTTCTCCACTCTCTCTTCTTTTTTTTGCCTTTCTCTTTTCACACTCCCCATCTTCCCCCCTCCCTCTCTCTCTCTGTATATCTTTGCCTTTATATTCTATCTCTCTTTCTCTTCCCCTCTCTCTTTCTCTTCTACTCCTTTTTTCTTTCATCTCTATCTCTCTGTCATTCTTTTTATCTATTTCTGTCTGTCCTTTTTCTCGCTCTCTTTCTTTATGCATCTTTGCCTTTTTTATTTCTTTCTTCATTTCTAGATTTCTTTTTTTTTTCTCCCATTTCTCCTTTATTTTTTTTCATTTTTTTCACTGTCTGCCTGCTTGACTGTCTGTCTATCTCATCTGTCTGTCTGTCTGTCTGTCTCTCTCTCTCCCTCTCCCTCCCTCTCTCTCTCTTTCGTCGCTTTTCTGAATCTATTCCGCTCCAATGAATCACAAACCCCCAAAAAGACGATTAAGAAGAATTTAATTAAATCCGTCCGAGTCAGGTGATGGCACTCCATTTTCTATTGATTCTATTGTGGCGCCATTCATAGCCAATCCAGGCGGCCGATATATTTAGACAGATTTACACATAAACATCAAAGGCCACTTGATCGGCCGACGACAAAGTGAATAAAAACCTATTCCAAGACAATAATGATAATAACAGTAAACCTGAGGGTTAGGATTTAGTCTTATTACTCGATTAGAATCGTAAGAAGAATTCTTCAATGTCAACTTCCACTGGAGGGAAAATGTAACACATATAATAATCTCAAAGAAATAGGATCTCTTTCGAGAAATAAAGACAGACAAGAATATGTTGTGTACATAATAACTAGAGCACTGGGAACGTTCGAAATGATCTGCTTCTAGGGATTTGAGGAAGGGTTGAGATTTTCCAAAGGCTGTGCTGCGGTGACAAGGAAATATGGTAGGTATTTGAGAATACTTGTCTTCACTATATCCGCAGCGACAACCATCGGACATTTGGTGTGGATACGTAAAACCTATGAAATAATAATACTCAAGATTAGCAGAGTTGTTGTTGTTGTTGTTACTACTACTACTACTACTAATGTTTAGGTGTTGTTGTTGGCTGAGGGTGGTGTTTGATCTGCATACAGAAAATTTTTCTGGGAATGGAAGCTGTCCACACCAATGTACTGACGTGTCATATTTTCATTATAACTCGAGAAATCTTCATAATATACAAGCAGTCACAAAGAGTGCAGTCGTCTTGATACCGATTCCAATCTTCTCCAGCCATTTCGGAAGACCAGTAATTATAGTGGTCTGAGTATAAACAATAATGGACATCACTTCCATTCACTTCATTGGTCACAATTTGTACACAGTCCATTTGAGTTTCCTTTTTCATGATAATGCATGTTCTTTTTTCTTTTTCTACAACACTGTCATCTCCGGAGCATGTAATATCTCCGATGATGCATGTTCTTTTTTCTTTGTTTAAAACACTATCATCTCGGGAGCATGCAATATCTCAGATGATGCATGTTCTTTTTTTCTTTGGCTACTACACTGTCATCTCCGGAGCATGCAATATCTCCGATGATGCATGTTCTTTTTTCTTTGCCTACTACACTGTCATCTCCGGAGCATGCAATATCTCTGATAATGCATGTTAACAGGTTTGGGTCAAAACAGCACAGATATTTTTTTTTAAGCGGGGGCCTTATTAGAAATATTTTCAGGTCAGGTAACCCAGTCTACCCTAGTCTTCTATATATTGGTGTACCCATGTATCTAGACGTGACTCTCAACACACTTTGGCTGCCTCATCCTTCAAAATAAAATTTAAAAAAACACTTGATACGGAACCATGATGCTCCTTCACTCCCGCTCATGAACAGAGATGCTCAGGGCATCAGCCCTTAAAGTACATGCCCAACTGGTTAAAGTCAGGCGATTAACAACAAAATTTCTAGTGCTGAACGGGATAATTACTGTAGACTATCTTAATTAAGAACTTTTCATACTTTGTATTGGCATATTGTCATATCACGTTGAAACACTGGTTCCCGTACGATCACCGAAGCAACGTCGATCCTGGTCAGTACCTAGATGGGTGACTGATTGGAAATACCAGGTGTTGTAAACTTGGATGTGCGACTGGTGCAATGGATAATTGTTAATCGTAGAGCCTAGTTTCAATTCTCATTGGTTTCGCAAACACCCTTGGTCAATGTATGAAACCACCTTTTCCCCACCCAACTATGGGTTAATTAGTAAGCCTTATATCACTAAACCATTATCTTTAAAAAAATTCTTACACTCTAAAATATTTTCTGGCTTTAAATAACCTTAATAGGATAAATAAGTTTTAGAAAATCAATACCTCCTATCAAGCCATGAGAGCCAGACCTGGTGTAATACCAAAGCATTCATTATTATTATTATTATTATTATTATTATTATTATTATTATTAAATAATTAGCATGCTTTCAATAATCTTTTTTATCCGTACAAATTCGTCTTATGCTCAACCGTTATCATTTCAGGTTTGATTTTATTGTATGATAAGGATGATTAGAACGGCGATGAAGATAAATATATGATGAAGTATGCTTGTAAAATCATTAGGCAACTCTGTGTCAACTTTAGTGTCTAAAAATTCACCACTAGCTTTTGAGAAATTTTATCTGCGATCGAAAACTGCTTATTTGTTCAAATGTATCACAGTATCAGAAATTTTAGCAAACTTTCCTGTGTGTCTCCCCAGATGAAGTAAATGTCATCAATAAATCGCTGCCAAAATACTGGTTCATGGTCGTGCTGTGATTTGAAATCTTCAAGTAGTTTTTCTTTGAGCACTGGCAGAAAACGGTTAATTTTTGAGAGAATAGTATGGGAAATTTCTAGAGATGTCTCGAAGAATCCTCACTTAGCGACAAAGAACATTGTCAATGATGTAAAAGCATCAAGCTTGAATGTATCGATGAAGACAATCACTAGAAGCTTTCATCGAGAAGGACTTCGAGCATGTCCCCCAAGGAAAACTTGTTAAAGGCTAAACACCTACACTGCAGATTAGCTTATGCTAGAAGCCATCTAGAACACGGGATTAAATATTGTAACTGTGTTTTATGGTCAGATGGAACCAAACTAGAATTATTTGGTCACATGAACTCCCGTTATGCATGAAGGAAAGTGACTGAAGCTCACAAACCCCAAAAAAACCTGACTACAATTAAGCACTGCAGTGGAAGTATTTTGTTCTGGGGATGTTTTGCTGCTTCTGGACCAAGAGAACTAGTGAGAGGACAAGGTATCAGGGATAAAGAGCAATATTTTGCTATTCTTAAAAATAATATAAAACAAAGTGCATGAAAGCTGTATTTTTGGCCGTCACTGGACCTTCCAACATGACAATGACCCGAAATACAGGGTACGAATTGTTAAAAAATACAAAATGTTACAAATATACAAATGTTACAAAATGACAGCAAAATTATAGTATTGGCGTATCCTGCAAAAAGGCCTGACCTAAACCTCATTGAAAATTTATGGGCATATTTGAAGAAAAAAGTAAAAGAAAGAACTATTTTGAATTTGGAGAAACTAAAAGCTATTGCCAAGGAGGAATGGAGCAAAATACCTATCAGTATGTGTAGTGACCTTGTAAGGAACTATGAAAAAGATTAACGACAATACTCAAAAATAAATGTTGAACAATTGATTATTGAGGCAAGAAGGACAATACCTTTGTCATATGTTACATGATTTTGGTGTTTTTTTTGTATTATTGTTTGAAATTAAAATAAATATTTTGTTATGGGCATCACTGAACATTCTTTCAAATCCATTATTCCATCGTTCGTAAAAAAATGCACATGAATTTTCCATGAAAATTTGAGGTATTGCACCATTATTTGTAATTATGGAAGACGGGTGAATAATTCTGTCCACAACTGTATATACAAGGTGCGAAGGACAAATTGTCGCCATTTTAGATTTTGATTTTGTCGACTGCACAGTATAGTAAGGTCAGGGGCACCGTCTATGAAAAAAAAAAAAAAACAGCACCATGATGCAATTCACTCCTCCAGAAATTTGGAAACGGCATGCTGTACTGTTTCGCACCGGAAGCTACAATGCGAAAATTTCAGAGTGTTTTGGTGTCAATCAAAGGACAGTGCAGAGGATTCGGAAAGAGTTGGATGAGTCTAATGGTGATTACGAGGATATGGCAGCTCGGAAAAGTCTGATTGTTCTGAAAAGAAAAGAACTCCCGAATTTGAAGTTGAGAGCCGCAGACACAACACGGAGGCCTACATCAAGTGTCATGAAGAGGTTGTGCTACCATGGGTCAAGAGAGTTTCTGCTAAAAGGTCCTAGGTCTCGTAACAGGACGCTGCACCATGCCACACAAGCAGGAAAAGACAGTCATGGCTGTCAGACAATTTCTACAACCAAATCACTTCTTACCACCTAACTCCCCAGACTGCAACCACCTCGATTATTATGTGTGGGGCGAAGTTGAACGAGAGATCAACAAAACTCCTTGTAGCACCAAAGACGAACTGAAGGCAAGGATTATGGAAGCATTCACCAACTTAAACAAGGAAACCGTCCAGGTGAGGTGCAGAATATTATGAAGTTGTCTGGAGGCCGTGGTTGAAGCCAATGGCGATTTTATTGAATAAATTTACTCTTTTGTATTGCAAGATATTTTTGTGTAATTTTGGTAAATACATCTCTTAATATGAGACGTCAGTGACATTTTCATTTTTGTGCAATATAGACAAAAAATTATCCATCGAACCATATATATTCTATATATATATATATATATATATATATGATTAATGTGAGTTAAGTTTGTCACTTAGCTGATTGATGCTACCTTCATCATCCCGACTCCAGAGTTACGTAGACAGACATGTTCGTCCACTTTTCAGCGTATATATAGAATAAGATATATATATATATATATATATATATATATATATATATATATATATACACTTACACACTTTTTGAAGGGACCTGGTGCAGCGAATACCACAAGGTTACAAACGACCCTCCGCAGGTTTTGAATTCAGAGTTGTCCTTCTCTAGACCAGTTACCACCAAAAGCTATTGAACCCAGTCTGTCCTGCTATTTTACCCATAGTGTGGATGGTCCTGCACGAAGCCTTCACCACTATAATCAAATCTTATGTGCCGGTGTCAGGCTGTCGGTTTCCTGGAAACTGATCTGCTTGATCCTCATACGTCGAATCTCGACAGGAGAGTCGATTATTATTATATATATATATATATATATATATATATATATATATATATATATATATTATAAATTAATTGATTTAAAATATGTTTCTTTCCGAAATTTATTTTTTTCTCCATATTTTCTTCTTGTTAAAAATAAAAGATTTAGAGTGCTCGACTTTGATTAGGAGCAAAGTATGTATATAAATAAAA